TATCTACATGTTACCTCTTCGTTAAACGTACCATCTTTCTTCAACGATTAGTAATAGAGTGAATTTACACAAAATCTAAATAAAAACCATATCCAAAATTTTCGCGACCCTATTCTTTGATGACCGCATTAAAATACGTTGACAATTTTTTTAGTTTATTGCGTTCAAATAAACCGTAAGACAAAGTTTTAATAAGTAAGAATATGAGTTGACGTGGTTTCCGGTAACAGATCTTTGATTATTATATATATAAAAAGTAGTTTATTACAGATTAGATAAACTTGATACTCAAAACTTATTTGTTGTCCAAAACTCAATAGTCACGTGTTGTTTTTCCGTAAGTTATGTCGAAACAAATATAAAAATGTATAATTTTTGGAAACTGTCAATAGTCTTCAATATTGATTGACGTTATATGAATAGTCATGTTTCGAAATTATTGTCGCGTCGCTTAAACAAAGGCATTAATTATTATAAAATAATTAATTAAATAACATTTACAAGAATTCAAGATTCAGTAACGATAAAACGTCTACTATTGTCTATTATGGATAAAGGAGTGTCATTTGGTCAAATTGGCAGAAATGTACAAAAAAGCGCAGCTGAGCCACTGAGCAAGATAGGAATATTTTTGTAATTGAATTTAAATAAAGTCGATATTTTAATCGATTGATTTATAAAAGTATACATTTAAAAATAAAGCCATTTATATTAAAATTAGGTGAAAATTAAAATATTGATTCATAATTATTATACACAGAAAACAGGATATTACAAAGGACACGTTACACTGGTGACTTAAAAATATATATATTGTCACTGGTGTGCAAACACGTAACCTGCAAAACCAAAATGAACTAAGGAACACCTTATTTGTTACCTTGGACGTTTATAGGAATTATTTATCGAAAAAAATAAAAGCTTTTCTTCTGTGAAGAACAATTTTGGTATTGCAGGTTTACTACGTGTTTGCTTTCCAGTGTCAATATATATATTTTAATTCGTTAATTTTATAGACTTAATTTAAAAAATCGATAAATCAGTCTTATTTTATTAGATTAATATTTTAATATCGTTATGACGCGGCAAACATGGTCACCCTACAATGACTAAGCAAATCATAGTGCACACATCTGACCACGGCATAGACAAGCCATTGTAACGGTTCTTACTGATTGTGCAACCTTCAGTGTTTGTGTGAGAACTTTTCTATGCGCTTACATGCGGTAGGTTATGCTTGTTTAACAAACAATGCAGTAAAGAAAAAAAAATTACCTAGTTACTTTAAAAACTAGAAAAATAATTCTCAGTTAATTTCAAAAGCGGAAAAGAAGTTTGAGAAAATTCGGTGTTGTTTTAGTGACCTACTTAAATTTTTTTTGAAGTTGGTTTTAGTGTTTGGAGAAAAGGTTGAGATTCAATGAATATGAGACATGTTAGTTATTAAAGGCTCAAAACTAATGAAACTTTTTTTTATTTGAAATAGCGATTGAGCCCAGCATTTGGTGATAAACGTTCTTCGAGAATATCTTCTATTCAACAGTGAAAATCGCATTGAAAACGTATATAATTTAGTTCAGTTATATGCTATCAAATACATTTTTTTAAAATAAGAGAATATTTAATCTTAAATAAATAAAATAGAAATTTAAAGTCTCCATTAAACAAAGAAGAAATCATGACGTCATAATCTAATGAACCGTAACGGTTGCATGGGATTATTTAATTTAGAAAAACCCATTACTAAATTGAGAATCCTTAAATTAAAACCTTTGTATATTTGTGAAGATTAAAATTTGAGGAAAACATTTAATGTTAGATTATTAACTAATGTGGATTCTAGGAGAAAAGGAGAAGATATCTTAACAATTTATTGATTTCCGTTTTGAAATACTATCTTTTAGACACATGTCACGTTTTTTTATTAACACTATTATAGTGACATAGTGCAGTCAGTCCGTGTATCGCCTTAGTCGGTGAAAGATTATCCTCATTAGTCAATGCTAAGACGAAGACCACACATATAATTCTATAATACACTAGAAAATATAACAATTAATCAATAAATTAATTACATTCTATTAAAATGAATTTCGCAGATATTTTTATTAAAATACATTTAATCATTATTTATGTATTCATTTTAAAATAAAAGTAAATAGAGAGTTTAAAAGACAAGAACGTGTCCAAATTTTTATACTATTTAATTTCATTATTTTTAATTCATTCAACTTTTTCAGCATACTAATTGCCAAGCAGTCAAAACTGTCAGAAAAAAGCTATTTATATTTCTATATTTTATAAAAATGCATATTTTTTAAAATGCTTCAATAGATTTGTAAAAATAACAAAAGAAAATCTGCCAAAGCAATTTTCTAAAGAAAAATATCCGTATAGTTGCTCGCAGTCGGAGCTAAAATCTACCCCGATAAACATGTTACTGAGTCAATCTATGATAATCCGCGCACGCAAACTTATCCACACTATTATAAGCTAGTCGGTCCCAGAGAAAGTTGAGGCTTATTGCCAATGCATATTCATTGTACCTCCAGGCGAACGCCAACCAGTTCAACCTGAGCTCCGTCTGACCACACAACCCCTTTTCTACAGAAGCCATAACTATATGGGAGGGAGGCGAGGAAGTTCCAGTTGTAACGGTTCCCAAGTCGGTGGTGGAAGCGCGGTAACTACTTTTATATTCTGTTTAGTATCCAGTGACACTGTTGTGTTAGTCGTTCTACAGTCTATGTATTTATTTTATGTACCTACGTAGATATATTTACGAAATAAAATCAAATGAGAGCCTCTTTTCAATTTCATAAATTATCGCCCAGTTGCAGAAACGTCCATTAAGATTTAATGACGCAAATAATTACTTTAAGGTGTAATTTTTCTTTGGAAAGATGTATCGGTAATGTTGCTTTAAACTAATGACATTGGTGCAACGGGTAGTCGGTCAATTAAATATAATGTTTGATATAGATTTGCATTCTCTTAATCAAGTTCATAAACATATCCTGATAACGTTGTATGTATCTATTTGTTACATTATTGTAACGGAAATATAATAAACAGCTGGTTACATAGGAAACAAATTAGTAATCATTCCACTCCATCATATTTGTCTTTCAAATTAACATCCTATTATACATATAATTTATCGGAGTCTTCAAACGGTTTAAAAGATATTGTAGAGGTCGGCAACGTCTTTTTACAAAAACAGCAGAGACCGCTTAAGTCACTTTATCACAATAAACCTGTTGTCTTACTTAAAATAACTCCTGTTTTTTAAATATTTATTCAATTATTAGCAAATATTTCCACCTTCTGTATTTTATCGTTGCTATTTAGCTAATCATAAAGCATACCTATCCTAAAGCCCCTTAGACACTAGATCGCGATGTGTCACAGTATGACACATGTTTCAATCAGTCTGGCAAGTTTACGCATTCACGTTTACAGCCAGACATCCACGCAGCCTCCGCACTACTTAAACTGCGGTGCGATGAATACCCCATAAACTATATCGTGCTTCATTAAATTGCCATCTAGTGTCATAAACTATGATCCGAGGATTGAGTAAGTACGTACATGCTGATTTTTTAAATTCCACACAATTGTATGTTTTATGAAAAATATTGCAATTGAATTCCAAGTGTTTACAATGAACATAAAATGGGAAATAAGTTTAATATCTCACTACTTCTTCTACTGATACACGTCTAAGATTTGTTGATTTACGAAGACAATTCTGTTGCATAAACTAGACTAAATTTAGGTTAAATTATGTCAAACTGCCATTTAAAATAAGATAAAGATAAACAAGTACAATACAAACCTAAGATAAGAGAAATCAAAATTATCATACTATAGTTAACACGATTATAAATATATTTCTTTGATTACTTAACACTATGGACCAATATTAAAACAAATCCAAATTAAAGATAGATTTCTCTTAGTTTTGTTTAGATAGAGGTACCATAGATTGACCCCATTGGCATTACTGGAATAATTAAATATCGTGTATCGTTAGTAGATCATTATTTTATTTTTAATAACTAGAACTTCACATATTTAGTAGCCGTTCGTAGCGAAAGTGTTGCAAACACGTCGGAAGTTGTCGTCTATGAGTAGATTTATCGGATCAGTGACGAGTTTTGTGTGAGCACATGACGGGTTCCGTGCGAGAAACTAAAGACATGCTTCAACATGCGGATGACTTTGACGCGGACCATGTAAAGTACTCATAATCTGATTAACATGAATGTATAATCGTAATATCGATATTTAAAAGAGATAGTACGTTATATAGCAAAAAGAAAAACATGTTAAAATTTAACATGAATCCTTTGTAAATTTTATAGAAGTATTTGAATTTATAATGCCATAAACATCTAATCGTTTAACAGTGTTTAAGATGGCATTTAAATGTGCAGAAATAACTAAATACCACATTAAATGGAAAGTGCATAATTAATAATCCGGATCTAGATATTTTATTAGTATTAAAGATACTTACATTAAATTCTCAATAGATAACTGAAGAATTTTTATTATATCTATCTATGATAGATAAGGGAAATTTTATGAAATCCAAAATAAAACCAAATGATTAATTGAAATAAATTACGCGATTGTATTAAAAATTATTACAACATCAATGAACAACTTAAATATTTTTACGCCGTTTGACGCGATTAAATTAGTTATTAACACTAACTATACTTTCCCTAATGGAATATAATAAATAATAATTATAAATATATTAATAATATTATTTACATTATCACAATCTATTCGCAGACCTAAGACATTGCGAGAACAATAAGTCGCATACTCCCCATTCATTGGTCCGACCGCATCCTGAGGAGCGAGAGTTATTATCTCCATACATAACGACCTAACAATCTTTGGCTGATGATTAAACGCGGTATTATGCCCTGAATCAAGCATATCCCGTCACCCCGAGTTCATTCCAAAGAAAAATATCCTCGGCATCAACCCCCCTGTTCAGACTTCTGCGTTTTCGCATGAGCGTCCCATAATTTGAAAGAAGACGTGCTAGCCTCTGGCATTCGAGGACTACTCGTGTAGTTAGGAGGTAGTCTTGATGGAGTCGATAGGAAGCTACCGTATGAAAGAGAGGAGTTGATCCCGAGTGATGTGTCCAATGTGGAATAATACCCAGAAGAAGCGGCGGAGGGTGGCGGCGGCGCGGGAGCCTGTTGCGCACGAGTCGCCTCAGCGTACACATCTAGGTGAGTTTTCACTAAAGTTAATAATTCCCCGTAATTTGTAACAGCTGCTCCTGCGCCGGCCACCCTGTAAAGCAACAACCGCGCCTCACCAAAAAGACTGTCCAAAATTTTACCTGTCGTGAAGAGGACGATCGCCTTCAGACAGGAGTATTCCGCGGAGTCCACGTGGAGCGCTTTCAATTTCTCCACTTGCTCTTGGAAGATTCTTATGTGGTCCATGAAAGCGACCACTCGGTCTGCCGCCATCGGTGACGCGTGGAGACCGGCGGCTGCCAGTAAAGGCGCCACGTGGAGGGGCATCGAGCACTGCGATGCATTTAACACGAAGAGTTCAGACCAGACTAGTCTGAGTAACGCCACTTGGTCCGTTACTTGGAGGTCGGGGAAGAATGGGATATTTCTCGCCCATTCGACTGCGGAGAACAGTAGCCGCGCGGCGAGTTCGCATATATTGTCTATGCCCATTACGTTGGTGGGCTGGACGCACTGACCGTAGCGCGAGGTGGGATAAGGTTCGGCTCGAAGTAATAGTGAAATATAGGAGGAGAGGTAGGGGTGGCTGTTTAGGCCAGCCGTTGGGTCGCCGTTTGTTAACGCAAATTGCCCGGGCAGAGCTAACCCCGCGGGCTGCGTTGGTGGCACTCGACCTCTTTGTACAGCTGAAACAAAGAAAATTACAAAATTAAAAATTTATAAAAAATCTTTTAATGTATAATTGCAATAACAACAATTCAACACAAGAGGTACAATCAAATAAGACCTAATTGAAGTTAATAAAAGTTTTATATCAATGAAGCATTATGTTGTAGCAGCGATGCGTTTAACGGCGAGTTCGAGGCTGATTCTTTTATAGAGTAGCTGTTTTTGTTGCAAATATCCTCTATCAATTTTCAATAAAATACACAATAAATAATATTTTAAACGCCTTTATTAATTTAAGACATAAAATATAAGTTATGATTACATATTTAATGTATACAAAAATTATTATTTTGTTTTTATGGATGTTTCACTGTTTTTGTTGAAAAAGTATAATTTTTTTTTATTTAAATTTATAGAAAAAACGGTTAGATAAGCTCTTCTATCCTTGTCTCTATAAGATGTCTAGCGAATACGCAACTCAGTGTGAATTTATCACTGCTAATTATCGCGAACCGAAATTGTTGCTTCGGTAACATTACCGTGGACGGTAACCGAGCATTACTTCCCATTACCTGCGTCGGCGCACTCTCGTTGTTACCACTTGGGCTACGTTGTAATTTCTATTAATGTATTTTAAATTGTCCCCTTGAAGTGTTTGACCTCTTTCACATGAACATGTACTTTAGTTGTGATACTGAATCATTGGAGAATATGCGATATGGTTGAAAAGCTATTTTAGATTTTAGAAAGATCGGTCATAGGATGTCTGATCAAAATTTTACTATCTCGAGCACAATTAGTATTTCATACATTAGAGATTTTAATCGATAAAATTTTATATATTCAATGTTTGGCTGTGATAGGGCTCTTATTAATAATTAATATAGGTAGTCATTTTCATCTTTAATTATACTTATGTGGAATTTATTTCTTAAGTTGCAAGTTAATGATTTGGCGTGAGAAAGTATTTGGCACGATTTGGCAGTATAACTAAGTTCCTTTGCCTTTTTCAAAGAACGATACATATTACTATAATTCTGTATTATTTTTTTATTATTCAAATATAATTCTGAACACAAAAAAAGCTATTTAAAAACAATAAATTGTAGAAAACAACAAGGAAAGATTGTAAATGTAAAGATTTTAGCGCCGTAGGAGAAAATAATCAATTCATTTTAGTCACTATCACTAACATATGCGATTACATAATAAACTGATCCAAGAGGATACTGTTTAAATCAATATCAACATGTACGTCTGTGTCTATAATAAATAAAATTTATTGTTATGATAAATGGTAATTAAAAACTAATACTGAAATAGGCCAATAGGTAAAGTAAATTATATATATCGACTAATGTTTAGAATGAGTATACTATAAAAACCATAAAGCCAATGAGTATAATGTCAAACTACAATTTATAACCGTCGACACAACCATTTCAACAAGTAAAAACGTTTTGCTAATTTAAAACGACCGTTATTTATTACGTTGTGACGTTTTTAAAGTACAAAAAACACCGGATTTAAGCAAGGAATTCGTCTATGTTAATTTTATTTGGACAGTATGACCATTTACGCTTTTTTCTAAGATTACATGTGACATTATAATTTCATTAGCAATAAATTTCATCAACCGAGGCAGTATACATCTAAATTGCGATATAATGTTCTAGTGATTTGTGGATCATATCAAATAATATCAGTTCGAAAATGTTCTATAACATCGGTATAATTTATGTTAATTTTTTATCGATTTTTCGGCTGCATCATTTTATAATGATCAATTTTATTGACAACGGCTAGTTTGGTGACAGGAAATTAAAGAATGAAATTGCTTTTCATATTTGAATACCGATGCGATTCGAAATTTGAAACGATATTCATACTTATTTGTCCACAATATTGCCTTCTGGAAATGAATAAGAACTACGACGGTGGCACTGGCTGTTTTTTCGAATAAAAAGTTTTGGTTGCTTAAAAAGCGTACAGTCACGATAACTTAAAGTTTTTAAATTTTTTGAAACGTTCGGGTCTGCGACAAGTGTTAGTATTGTTGTCGAGTTCCCATTCACTGTTTTGTATGGGCCATTGACATTTTTTAAGGTGACCTGTAACGTCGCGGAGAACTATTCTTGGGGTCAAACCATGATCACGATTATCGGAACAGGTGCGAGATGCGCAAAAACTGTTTTACAAAAACAAACTTTTTTGTGAGTAATTTTTTTGAGAATGAAACAGAATTTTAGTGGTTTTGATAAAGTCAATTTATTATATAGTGTATATAATAAATCGACTTTATCAAATTGATATTGATTAAATTGATATTTTGACATTTGAATTAAGTAATCGTAATTGAATTAAATCCAATATATTTATCATCCAATCCAATACAATACAAAAATATCGAATTTTTTAAATAAAAGTGTGACAAATCGAACATCTAAAGTATGTAACAGGACAACTAGACGAGTATTTGTCGAACGATCGAAACATTTAGCTATCGGCGTCGCGGCATCTGAAGATCGTGACGACAAATCATCGGTTCCGACGCGAGGCGAATCGACGTGAAACCGTAGGTACCGATTGCTACGGAAAGCAGCGCGGCAGGATGTGCCTATGGATGTAGCGATATTATGAAATAGTTTATCAGGAGTATGTAAAAAAATAATATTACTTACAAAAACTTCGAAGACTAGTTTGTTTATAAATATAAATCACTACTTAAATTGAAAAACAAAACGCTTAAAAAAACGAAATATATTTAAATATAACATTTAATTAATTAAGATGTTGACTAATTTTTTTTCTCTTTAAAATGAAAGAATAAGCATAATCAAAAAATACTATGAACAAATTTCTTTAATATTTACATAAATTAAAAAGTTATGGGATTATAAATTTGCGCTCGCTAGAATGATTTTGCTTCCCGCGGTACCTCAGCGTGTGACGTCACACTACCGAACATGACCGCCAGGACGCGGCTCAGTAGTATTATAAGTTCATTTTTGAGCATCGCCCGCATCTTGCAGTCGCGTTTTGTCTATTACTCGAAGGAGGGCACTAATAAAATCTTCTATTGTTTATTGACTAGTGCAAGCTCATTTACATTAGTCATTAAGACCAGCATGCGGCATGCATTGGTGGATAGGGCCTGCATACGAAGTTCGGGCTTTCCGTACTTATTTGCATTAGCGTTTGATTGAAACTGAAAGAGTATCGACCAGTGATATGAGTCCGCATGGATCACTCGCATGCGGACCCTATCGACTAATGTAAATATGCCATTATAAAAGTTAACAGTTATTAAAACTGATCCCGCTAACGGGCGAACCCTATACCTATTGCATCATCACTTACAAAGAGGTAAAAATAAAGATTGTAAAACGTAAAAAACTATGCTGTAGACCAAAATGAACCTTTTCAACGAATACTTTTTTGAACGGGGTAAAACAGCTAATACCTATTACTTTGTCATTAAACAAAACAACAAAAACACAGTATCACAAATAAGGAACTATTGGATAGATTCTAAGGTCTTCAAATGTAATATTTTACGGAACCCTCGATATGCGAGTACGACTCGCACTTGCCTGTTTTTTATACTGATTGGTATCTTAACAAGTTGAATATACTAAAGGTAATATCTTTACATTTTGTTGGTTACTAAATATAGCATAAATTTTTGTCCTTTTCTTAAAAAAATAAATAACATACAAATAAAAAACTAAAATGTAATGTTCATTTATAACTAAAAAAACAACGCCAGGGTACCCAATAAGTACATAATAATAAATGTTTTGCAAAGGCGTCTATTTAATTTGTACTGCGACGATCTGGGAGTTCGGTGCTGTGATGTCACTGGCGAGTCGGAGGCCTAAGACGTTCCGTGCGAATACGCATATTTTTAAATATTCTATAACTTGATCATTTATAAACGGATTTTAATTTTGTTTTCAGATTTATTTTAAAGATGACCTATATTTTTATTATATTGTGTTAAAAATAATAATATCAACATTATGAAACTTCTTCAATGAGGAAGTTTTATGATGTTGACATTAAGTATTCAAAAAATATTAAATTACCTATGTATTAAAAGGGTTAAATATAGCCATTTCATACATCATTACGTTATTAGTTGCGGACAAATGATATTTAAGAAAGTAGTGAAAAAATAAAACACCGATATATACCTTGCTTTTGTTTTCATTCATCGTGCATCGTAAATTAGGGGTAATCTTTAAATTTCTTGACTGAAAGAAAATTATTGTAAATTACTATTGTAATATTTTTTTTTAGAGAATATAGACGTCAACACCCATACTTTCACTTGCTAATATAGGTAATAAAAAGAGTTGACACTATCGGACAAAGCTAATCTTTTACATTTCACCGCTGAATTCGTAGCCGTATCTTGAGAGATGAGACAAAAATGTCTGGCGCGGCGAGCACGCCGAGCACGCGGCGCGAACGTTTTTTGGCGGGAAACGCGACGCAATGGCGCGCATGCGTGAGCACGCGCCTTGTTTCTTTTACTTTTTTACATTTCCACCAAACAGGTTTATGTAGCTTTATTTAATACTCTGTGGTTTTTATTTTACTGGGCTCTATATAAAATTTGCTCAACACTGTTTACCTTTCGGTGATCTTAATCTAATATTACAAAAATATCGTAACAGATTATGCTATGATTTCATTTTAATGCAACGATTCACATTACGGCTAGTAAAATACCACCCACGGTGAGCATACTTATCGAGATTGTTCTAAAATCTCTAAATGAAAACAATTTTCGAATCCGATAACAGCTTTGCTCGAAGCGAAATTTATGTTCCGCAAAACTATCAATTTTATGAACTATAACGGTTATTTTATTACAAAACGATAGTTGATAAAACAGTTAAAATACGACTCTACGATCATACTCTAATGATAACTGCCACAAACATTTCGAAAAAACAAATCATAAACCAGTTACTATAATACAAAATACTAATTTCTGTCATTCATCTGTCACCTTTAATTGATTTATCAAGACGCCATTGCCACTTTGCTTTTTCTCGAATTTTTTGTGTTTATGCGAGTGTTATAAAAATCTTTAGTAAATCAAACATTACAGAAATTCCACTTGCGATAGTTCCGCCATCTCGATAGAACAACATATTCAATTAAAGTGTTACATCTTGGTATAATTCGTCAGAATTGGAGTAATTGTCCGGACTATTAGTTCGGTGTGGGGCGAGAGTAGAGACTATCCCACGCCCAAGCGACGGTTCATAAGCAAAACAATATCAGTACGTTATCTTTTGAATTTTTTTTTATTTATATATCAATTTCTCAGTAAATTGTAGTGATTGGAATTTTAATAATTTTTCTTCTTTAATTAACGTAGGGAAAAAGCGTTACGTATTTTCCGGAATGTGGGGCTCTCCTCTGTAAACCTCGGAGAGATTGAGAGATTTTTATAATTTAACTTACAGTTACCCGCGCTTATTTGTTTGTTAATGTAGCCTATATAATTTTCCATTCTTTTATTTTTGCTAACGTAAAGGAAATCCACCTTAAATCTTAAATCAGGGCTCTCCAACTACCAAGACAAAGCGTGGCTGGCCTACCTAATAAATCTCGCTGCGGAATACCCTAGGCAAGGGGATCTAGCAAGGAGCCCGTTGGACCTTTATCACTTTCCAATTTCCCACTAACGCCATATAAGATAATCATACCATAACAAAGCTCCACTGCAACATGACAGAAAGACAAACACAAATTCCCATTTGTAATATTATGTATAGATTCGTTCTGCAGATTAGATATTAAAGATTTGAGATACTGCCAATATTTTTACTGCAGTGATGTGCGTCATTACACTATCTATAGACAGATCTCCAAATCCATGTCGACGGCACATCACTATCTAGACAATCGATGATGACGTGCGTGCACAAAGAGGCTGCTCAGCTTTTAGCAACTAATTATGACTTGATATTATAAGTGTTTTAAAGATAAAAAATCTTATGAGATTTATCGACAACGTTGCATTTGAAGTGTGAACAGTTATGTCTAGAGAAGCTTTTTTGAGATTTTATGACTTTGAGATGGTCGGTTTGTGTCATGTGATTCCGTTGACGAATGATTTTGTTTTTGTTATTTTCAATATTTTAATAGAAAGTGACTTCATAGTCTTATGTCATATTTCACTTCGACATCTCTTTATGAAATAAAAGAGGGAGAAAAAAGCAACTCTTGCTGTGATTCTTGACAGTTCTTTTTATATAGAGTTTTGAAGAAACGATTCATAACCCAATTGGATATTAACGACTGCAGATGCAGCCACAGGAAACTTGGTCACCCAATTAATGACCCTTTGCGATACATGCTTAACCTCCACATTCAAAGTCAAAAAAATCTATTGAAATAAACTTTTGATTCGTCCAATACTCTTATCCGTTCAGGATATTTTTTTGTTGGCACTATAAGATATCAAGATTAACAATTGCTTAGGTTTTTCATTTAAAAATATATGGTTTATTGAAATTTATATATGCTTAATAGATTTAGCAACACAATTAATTAATGACATAAATAGATTAATAATTAGGAATGTACTCGTAGCAGTACAAATATGTATTTACGTCTTAAGAATTAAGATAATTGCTGCCTAAATTTCTCACTTAAGAGACTAATTAAATCGTTTTTAGGATAATTTATTATTGAAAGAATGAAAATAAATAACTAAGTTTATAAACAAGTAGATTATTTAAAAAATAATAATTGATATAAATGAATAAAATGTAGATAATAACAAATCATAAAACCGAAAGTTAAAATAAGCAAAATTATGATTGTCCAATATCCATTAGCAGTAAAATATTATGTTAAATTATTCTAAGAGAATATTTAAAAACTGCATTTGAATAATTTATATGATGAGTATAATCTTCAATCAGAAAATTATATTGTCCGGCGTCACGCATGTTTAGGATTATAAGAATATTAAAGTTTTTGTAATATTGTGCCTTATAAGTTTTACTAATAACGGTAGCTAATATATTGAGTTTTATGTAAATATTTCTTTTCTATAAAATATGATCTAGAGAAATTTCATTGTAATCGCATATTCATAAACAGAAAATCGGTTTTTATATTTTTATATCTACAAAAATTTGTGGAATCTTTTATCTTGTATTATTTTTTATACAAACAAAATATCAATAACTAATAAATGAATTGTATTTGTTTTATTTTTTTATAGTAGAATTATATTTATCTGTATTTAAAAAAGGTTAGCAATAAAAAAAGACAAGATAAGAGATTGGGCTTTGCTAAATAAAATAACCTACCCAAGATTTGATAGTATGACTAAGTTCCTTCACCTGTCTTAACGGACGAAATAAACTACTACTATTCAAAAGAGGTTGGTATTTTTTATAATAAAATTAATAAAAAAACAAATAGTGGTTCCTATATTGGCCGTTCCTACCGGAAAACCACTCAATGTGTTCCACCTGTTAACATACATTAACAATATTTTTATTGTATCAATAGGGATGACGACTGGGTAAAAAAAAATACAATTCTATTTAGTCCGTCAGTCAGATAATAGAAACATATTAGATACGTATTTTTTTTTACTTCAATTTAACAAGAAATTACTTAGATAACAGGCATTAAAGTTGAGGCACTCCTCAACTTCTACTACGTCACAGTACGGGGCTCGCTACGTCACAGTTTAGTAGAAAACGTACCATTATTTGACGTCATGCGAAATTTCAACTTCATGTAACGCCGTAATTTAATGATTACGAAAAAAATATTTGTTTAATATTAAACAAGTATTTTTTACCTCTACCTGACGGACAAACAAACAAAAATTATCATCCCTATTATAAGGTATTTTTAAATAAGTAAGTAAGTAATAAATAATTTAATTTTTTAATCTATTGATGCACAAAAATATGCGTTGGTGCTCGAAAATTCTTATTTTATTTTTAAATGAACATGTTATAAGTACGACTAATATTTTTTTTTTATAATGTATATAGGTGAAACATCGATTTAGTTTATTTTACTTTTCAAAATAGTTACCTATGCTAGTGAAATAAAAAAATATAGTTAAAAATTTGAACGTATAAGCAATGTACAAAAACCCTAAAGAAGTTAATAAAAAAAAATGCAATGGCAAACTCTTTATTTATTATTTCTTTGAATTTTACCAACCGGAAACGAACAGCTCCTCTTGTCGGAATTGGAATTACTTGACTAAATAGGTAGTGCCAGAAAAAAAACATGTATAACACGTCCATTATATTTACGCGACTGTCACATAAAGCGGTAATTTTATAAATATGTTACTTCATATTTATTTTAATTCTTTGCACGTAAACAATGATGTATTTGCTCCAGTTTTTAATAATAAGGGAATATAGCCTTTAAACTCTTAGAAATAAGGTTTCTAAGGTGTGCGAATAATTTTGTTATTGACACAGTTACTTGAAGGAAACAATCTCGCACATATTATTTTACGTATCCATTGAAGTCGGTGAAGAGTACAAACGGGATTATTAACTACTTAATAAGTAAATCAACCTGACCACAGAATAAAATTATATATTTGACTAGCTCTCAATTGCATATACGAATTAAGGATTCCCGTAGGTGAAATAATATTTAAAATCGATGCAGTTATTTCTGAATCTATTCATGAATCTAAACAATGAATCTTATAATATTAGTAGTTCACTTATAGTTTATTTTTTATTTTTATAATATTAGATGCTTAAGATCTCATTCGAACCTACCAATTGCAATCCGAGCGACTTCTCTAACTCGTAATTTTTTTAAAGTTAAATAAAAATATTAATATGAAATGAAACTTTTTCAATTATAAAAATCAATATGTACCTAATGATAAAATTTATTGGCAGAATAAATATTAAGAAAGGTTACAAAATAATAGGGACAAGCCCGGTTCTGCTCGGTTATTTATTAATAGTTGTAGCTTGAAGTTTGAGAATCATCATCATCATCATCAGCCCTTTTACGTCCCCACTGCAGGGGCTCAGGCCTTCCTTATGGATGGCTAAGGAGGATGGGCCATGACCCTTCCAACGCTGGCCCAATGCGGATTAGAGGTTATTAACGACGAGGGTACTAACGTGCCTTTCAAAGCACGAGTAGCTCGAGATAATAATTTTTGGTCATCCATCCCGTGACCGACCCTTGCGAAAGTTGCTTAACAACAATGATCGCGGGCCGCGGCGCTCAGGTATTCACTACACGCTTCACGCCACCGAGCTAGTTTGAGAATATCTTTCAAATATTAAATTGAATGGAATTGGAATCGATTTTAAAATTAGACAATAAGACCTTTGTTTATAAACATATCTGTCCTTAGAAATAGGGTACCTACTAGTAATTTTTATCGTAAAACTGTTTTATGTATAAAATAATAAGAGCCTTACTACACCAGTTTATTACATTTTTTTCTTTAATATACACAAGTGTATACTGTGTCATTAGGGAATTACAACTGATTGTCAGAAGGATAACGGACTGGACTCACTTAGGGTTGCTAACTATTTATACAATAAATTAAGTATATTTATTGTCACAAAAAACTTCTTGAAAGCTTTTCTTCAAGTTACATCAATGCTTTTGGGCTTTTTATAGTATAATAACAGTATGACAGAGTGGAAAACAATAATAGTACCGTCCAACAGACAAGTTAGCGACCGATTGCTTGATAGGATCTAGATGGCGCAATGACTAAAGTAATTTATTTTCTCAAAATCTCCTCTCTTAAGCCATTCCTCCAGACAATTTTAATACCCACCAATAAGAGGATAAATAACTAAATTCCTTATGCATTTATATTTATAGCCTATACTTTAACGGTAGGGAATTATTAGACTAATGGTTATGAGTAGACGGCCCTATTCGCATTGCTCTGAGTTAAACATTGTGACAATTGCGACCCTGTGCTAATTCGCTACTGTGAACTGATACCAATAAGATTTATCATCTCGTTTACATTAATAAACAGTTTATCGGAACACTTATCTGCGGTACCTCAAGTAAACATGTCAATTACGCAGTTACAAATCTTTGTATACCTATTTATGTATTAGTGCTGTATTTTTTGCTAAAATGACTAGAACATTTAAGTGGTTAATATTTTAAGTAAAATATTGGGCCAAGTAAACAGCCTTGTGGCACTCTTCGAAGAGCTGCAGCCTTGATATATTTATTATAATAAATTATTTACAAGGACATTTAAAAATACATGACATCGTTTTGACACAACGGTGTTAGATTTTTTACAAGCTTTTATTTAATTTGCCTTGTTTGTATGTTATTATGTTTGTAACATAGTGCGCAAATTTTGGAACTTAAGTTTTTCTTAATTCAAGTGTCTGCATGTATTAAAATAATAGAATAACTAAGTCAGATATCGAAATATTTCTTATTTCCGTAAAAAATTCAGATAAGCACTATAGAAAATCTGGTCATGTCACTGTTCTCCAAGTAAATAACACTTAAGTACCATAACATTCTCGAAGGTAATTAACAATTAAACTGAACAAATTATTTCTTGATAACCGCACTAATTGTGTACGTAGAAGTAAAGTCATAAAAATAGCCAGCAAGTAATACTTAGAAAAGTAATGTTTATAGTCAATAATATACAATACATTAATGTTATAAAATGGCAAATCAATTATCATTTGAAAGGAGCTAAGGTTTCACCGCTAATGACTAGAGAAGACCCAACAAAAACAGATAACAAACCATAAATTGAACCATTAGCGGAGACATCGTCCCCAAGAGTCCACTACAAGGTTCATAAGATACAAAGAATACATCACCGTGTCCCATCCCGTCGATTTAAATCTTAACTCTGTACACAAC